GGCTTTATTCTGCGGGCAATTAGGAGTCAAGCACAGGACCCTGAGGGGAGGCAGGAGGAGGGCGGGGGCGCAGGTGTTGGCACAAGACTGAAGAGTGCGCGGCGACCAGTGGGAGGCGAGGGCTGCGGGCCGACCTGCAGGGAGCTGAGTGCGGCCAGGCGCTGCTCTCGGGACACGTCCCCGCGCAGGTCCAAGAGGGCAGAGACATGCTCCTCGCTACAGGTACGAGGTGAGGTGAGTCAGCCCCAGCCAGCCTCTCCCAGGTCCCTCCTCCCTTCCTGGCCCGTCTTTGCACCTTACGTCGGGAAATTGTTGCCGCAGGCCCGCCACCTCGAGGCCAAGCAGCGTGGGGTCGCGGAGGTTCAGCAGCTCCCTCAGGGCCAGCAGCACTGGCGCACACTGAACGCTCTCCTCCAGACCCTGAGCACATAGGGGTAGATCTCGCGCCAGCCTTTGGCCCCTAGCCAACCACTGAGACTCCCGCCCATCTTCTAGCCCAACGAGTTCTCACCAAACCGAGGAAAAGCTCCCGAAGCTGGGCGGCATCTTGCCGCAGGCGCTCGGCTGCCTGGGTCCGCTCGTCAGCCCCTCGGCACACTAGACGGCCTTGCATTAGCGCACGTAGATATTGCAACACCACGGTACGCTCCGCCTCCGCCAGCAGCAGCTGCAGGGAGCACGATCAAATGGGTCCTGGACACCTTTCCCGTGCGTGCTTTCCCCTCTCCCCAGCCTTTCGCCCCAAAGCACCTGGACTGCGGGATTCCGCACGTGTCGGAAGTCCTGGCAGAAGCGTGCCGTCCGCTCACACACCCCTTCCAGCAGCTCCGGGCTCGATAGCCACTGACGCGAGGGCAGAGCCGCGAATAGGGGCTGGGAGCAGGGGTCATAGACGCGGCTGGAGAGACGATTCAGACCCGGCATTCCCCGCGGAGACTCCTCATAATACACTGTATCTCCTACTCGCACCCCCACCTCCACCTGAAGCCTCACCTGTAGCTCCAACAGCAGCGCCTCCAACACCAGGCGGCAGATCCTCCTCTGCAACTCGTCCAGCGCTGCCTCCACCGGAGCCAAGGCCCCTGGAGCCACCCAGTCGGGCTGCAGGACGGACAAGGAGGAGCTAGACGGAGACCACAAGTAGGCTTCAGGACCAAGGCCAAGGCCCGCGTGGCCCTCTGTTGTCTAGACACCTGGGCGCCACCTAGTGGCGTCAGGGTCAAGAAGCGCGGCTCCCTGCACTTGTAAAGGCCTGGGGCGTGGACTGAGGCTGGGAGTGGTGGGCTCAGCAAGCTAGAAGGGACACAGCCCAGCTGGACCTGCCTCTAATTTGCGATGTGACCTTGAGCAAGTCATGTCTTCTGGTGTCTGTTTCGGTAAGAGGAGAGAGTTAATCCCACTCAGGAGGGAGTCAAAATCGTAATTAACTTATTCGTCGTATTATGCCCCCACCCCAAAGAACATAAGACCCAAGAAGAAGGGAGTATTTTTGTTTTGTTTACAGCTGTAACCCCAGATATTACTTGGCACAGAGTAGGGTCTTGATAAACATTTGTTAATTGAATGAATAATTGACACTATGTCCCAGGTACTGTTGGAGGTTCTTCATATCCGTTATCACATGTGATTCTCAGAACATCTATTATTACCTATATACTACTGTGAGAAAAGCAAGGTTCAGAGAGATTAGGTAACTGGCTCAAGGTCACACAGCTAGTAATTAGTAGAACTAGGATTAGAACCCCAGGGCTATATGAGTCCAAAATTCCTAATGGCATAGTGCAGGCTGGGTCCATACCTAATAGGTATTCAATCATGAGTTACTGAAGGTGGGGTTACATGGGGGCTTCCTGGTACCTGAGTGCTGATTGGTGGTTGAGGGTGGCCAGTAGGTAGGGCACATAATGAGGGACCATTGCTTCCCCCCTGAGGTGGTCTCGGGAAAATCTGATCAGAGCATCACTGAAGCTGCAAAGGACAGAAGTGGCTCCTGTACCTGTGGTCACTCTTGCACAACCCCAGTCCTTGGTACTCCAGCTCCATCTCCAAGATACCCAAGGCCCTATATGAAGGAGCCCCTTTCCACTAGTGTCCCTTATTCATTCAGAGCCCCGTTAGGCTGCCCCAGGAGCAGGGTCAGGGGTTGGGAGTGGGTCATTGCCTTCGCAGACCTCCTCAGGAATGCGCTCAGTTCTGACAGCGCCATGTCATGCACCCGCTGCTGCAGTGACTCACTGACCATGCTGGCCACACGAATGTTCTCTTCCAGGATCTACAGTCAGAGATAGGCAGCCATCAGCAGAATCCTAGTCCTGCTCTCTTTCTATTTCCACATGAGGTCTGCCCACCTGCCTCACCACTTTTCACCCACCTGCAGCACAATGGCCGGCATTGGTGAGTGGTAGAAGCCAGACGGGTCTGTGTCGGGCTCCTGCTCTCTGCCCCACTCAGCTGCCTCCCCATCCAGTGCCTTCTGAAGCCACTGGGTCACACTTGCCTGGGGAAAGGAGCAAGGAGCAGCAGGATGTAGCAGGGCACTGACACAGCTAGAGACAGGTAGACATGCAGATAAAACCCCACAGCTGGTGGCAAACTTCTCTGGACCCAGGCCCTAACTACTTACCTGGACTTCGGCCACAAATGTTGCCTCTAGCTGCTCGACATTCTCCAGGGTCAGGAGGGGCTCCAGATGGGACACATCAGCCTCAGGCCCTAACTCTAGGCTCCCCATCATTTCTGGCCTGGAGATGGGTGCCCCAGTGTTACACTGAGCCCCCACCTCTGATCCACCCACTTCCCGTTGGCCCAGGGACACCGACCCTAGGTATACATGCAGTGCCCAGTGCAGCAAGGTGAAGGTATCAGCAGCTCCCAGCTCAGTCCTTTCCAGAAGTTGCTGCAGGCAGCGGCGCAGGCTGCTGTGCAGGGTGTGGGCCCACAGCTGGACCACCTTGTATTGTGGTGGGCAGCAGGGTGCTACTAGTGCCTCAGCTGTGGCCAACTCAGCTGGTAAAGCCACCCTCAGAGCCTCCAGCCACTCTGCTAGTGCCCCTGGTCCAGGCTGTGGCAGTGTCCCAAAGTGGATCCGCTCTAGGCCCTCCTGTAGTGCCCGCAAACAGCGCTGCCGCCAGTCCCGAGGGGCCTGCTCCCGAGAAGTTGTGCGCCCAGCATCCACCTCTGCCACACGCACAGCAGCCACCAGCAGGGCTGGGTCCTCCCGTGCCAGCCGCCCTGCAGCCCCTGCAGCTGCCTCCACAGCCTGGCCCAGAGCCTCAGCCAGAGGACCCAGTCCCTCAAAGACTGGCAACTCCAGGCCCCCCAGAGGTGCCCACGTCTCCTCTTGCAGCTGTTCTAGCTCCCGAAGGCTCACATATGCCTCCAAGAGCCGCTGGGCATCAATCAGGGTCTGTGTGTGGGCCACTGCAGCTGGCACTAAGCAGGGAGGAGAAGAGACAGCTCTGGGTCTCAGCCTTCCCACATATGCAGTAGGCACAGCAGTGGAAGCTAAGACCCTGGGGCTGGAGTGATGTATAAAATACTTAGTAAACAATACAGTAGAGCATTGGCCAATCTGAAAGGACCTGAAAGGAAGGGCCACCATGGTGGGCCAGGTGTAAACCCTTGAGCTGAAGGAACATGAGGAAGTCAGGGATCCTGGAGGGAAGGCAGGGAGGAACTGGGGCAGGGTGGGGGAGGGGCATGCCAGTAGCTATTCATTCATTTTGTTAGGGAACTATTTCAATAAATTAACAATCAGAGTGGCCAAAGCCACTTGACTGGGTGTCAGTTCTGATTCAGACATCCCTTGCTTAGGAACCCCAGAATGAACTAATATGTACCCTGCTTCATATGCCATTTGAAGCCCAAGTTACTCTCTGGAAGGTCCCTGGTGTGTCCCTCCATGCAGTCTCCCACTGGTGCCCCAGCCCCTCAATCAGTGATGGTGTTTGGTGACTAGCTGTTGGAGGGCTGAGGCCCAGGACTGCTGCACGCTTACCGGCTCGCAGCCGGGGCAGCAGCTGAGACAAGGCCCACAGTTGCTTGTGCTGCACAACCTGCTCCCGCAGGGGTTCTAGGGTCTGTGCAGCTTCAGCCATACCCCGGAGCAACCCATGGGCCTGGCTCAGAGCCTCACGGACTCCCTGCATGGCCTCCAGGGCCTGGGCCAGCTGCCGCACACCAGTCTTCACGCCCTCCAGGTATGACTGCACCACCGACTGTGGGAAGGGGGCAGATAGTGAGGCCTGGCCAGGCCTGCAGCCCACCCCCAGCGTGCCTGCCTCCTGCCTGATGCCCACCTTGATGCGTGCTTCCAGGGAACAGGTACGCTGCACCTCGCGGCTGCGGTACTGCCCCAGCCTGGCCAGCTGCTCTGGCCGGTAGAAGATACCAGAGGCCCACTTGAGCGCTGCACCCCGGGCCAGCTGCTCCGCCCTCTCCTGCTCCGGCCACTCAGGCCCTGGGCAGGAAGAGCCTGGGCAGCTGCGTCAGTTAGGCAGGGCCTGCAGGAAGCAGCTGCCAAATCTGCTCCCCTTCCTATTCCTCA